TGTGTGTGTGTGTGTGTGTGTGTGCGCGTGTGTTAATGAGTGTGTTTTACGCTCCCATCAACACAATTTAGATAATTTGGGAGGCGGGCTTCAACTGCTCCAGTCCGGACTGAGAGGGACACAACATGCCGACAGAGAGATGGAGATGCTCAATCAAAAATTATCCCCATTCGGAAACCGAACTGGGGTCTTCAACATGTGACAGCGAAGTGCCTGCCGATACATCACAGATGCCGGTGCGCGTGCGCGCGTGTGCCCGCGTGTATGTGGGAGAACATGAGTCGCGCACTTTCGGAATAGTAAAATTACACAAAAACAAAACAAAAAACAACTACTCTGTTCTTTTCGTTTAGTTGAAAGACACCCGAGCAGCTCCTTCTATTTTAAATTAAGAGAAATCTCAGACCCTCCAGCTCCCACTTACTTATTGTGCCTAAAAATAAGACGTAGTGTACCCTACCCTGTGTTTCCGTTCTACCATAGCTCAAAGTACCCCGCCCAAACTCCATCTCATTAATATTTTCTGCCAACCGAAATAGCGCAGTTGTCGACGGTCCGCAAACAATCAGAGAGAGAGAGAGAGAGAGAGAGAGAGAGAGAGAGAGAGAGAGAGAGAGAGAGAGAAGAGAGAGAGAGAGAGAGGGAGAGAGAGAGAGAGACAAGACAGAGTACTTTGTTGATACGTACAAAATTCGTGCACGTCATTGTACAGCGGGGCGTAATACGGAAACTAATTTTCCTTAAAAAGGAATCTTTTCTGTTCTATTTAAAAAAACAGTACAAAACAAAACAAAAAATCTATGTCAGCCGGAAGGGAAAATGGTGGGCGTCTTCCCGTCAGGTCAGTGAGGCGACTCCCTCATTACAAACAAGCGACGTCCCGATGAAGCCAATCTGCGACAAGTTTTTTGTTGTGACAAGATTTGTGCTGTCTGTCGCGACTGTCAAAGACTGCCTGATTTATCCCGCACGCTGAAAGTTCGTGATGACTTGTCGTCCTTGGCGTTTCTGTCTGTCTGTCTGTTTGTCTTTTTCTTTCTTTCTCTCTGTCGCTATCTATCTATCTATCTATCTATCTATCTATCTATCTATCTATCTATCTATCTATCTCTCGCACCGCCTCATCCCACCCCAGGGAAAAACCTGAACACTACCTTCAACAAACCACAACCCACGGCCAGCTATGAAGGTTAACAAAATAATAAAGTCATGAATTCATCTGACATAGATATTACAATTTGAAATTGTCCCCAGGCACCGCTCGCCTATGTCATGTTCGTGGTCTTCTTCTGACAAGTGTCTCCTGTGGTTTCTTCTACAGCTAATTGTACCAGACATCATTATGCATGTCAGTTTCCAGGCAAGTCACTTTGGAACGGAATATTGTAAGGGTTGCCGTAAAATGTTTCTTTTGAAATAAATTTCTAAAAAGAATTTAAAAAATTATATCTATCTATCTATCT